TATACTGTAAAAATATTTACCTTAAAAAAACTTCAAATGTTGCTAAACAGTGGATAACGGCAAAATGTTATTTTTGATCGTTGATAAAATTGGACATACAGGGATTTCCAAACATTGTTAATTATAATTAAAATTGTTTAGAATTGAACAATACCTGGAATATATTATCCAAGTATGCAATGGAATATATCTGTTATTTACGATTATAGAAGAAACTTCTTCAAATAAAAGTTGTTTAAAATATTATTCTTTATATTTTTTGCCCCATACATAAATATCCTAAAATGGCCTGTATTCGAGAAATTTGAGAAACAGTGAAAATTTTGAACTCAAAAACGGATAAAGAGAAAAACTCCAAATTATAAACTTAAGCTTTAATCTACCCTGCGGTGAGCTAAATGTAGTTTGGGCATAGTCGGAATATCTGGGAGGGGGGCACTTTATGGGAAGTCATTTTCCTACTTTATGGAATATATCCATTATTTACGCTTAGAAAAGAAACTTCTTCGGATAAAAATTGTTTGAAATATTATTCTCTATAAGTTTTGTCCCATACATAATTTTCCTAAAATGGCCCGTATTCGAGAAAATTGAGGAATAGTGAAAATTTCGAAATTTTGAACATAACTAAAAAACGGACAAAAGGAAAAACACCAAATTTTTAATTTTAATCTACCCTGCGGTGAACTGAATATATTTTGGGCATGGTCAGAACATCTGGGGGGTACTTTATAGAAGGCCATTTTCCTACTTCATGGAATATATTTGTTATTTACACTTGGAGAAGAAACTTCTTTGAATAAAAGTTGTTTGCAATATTATTCTCTATAATTTTCGAGATAATTTTGGTTGCATACTTAATCTTATCAAAATGACCCGTATTCGAAAAATTTGAGGAAATGTGAAAATTTCGAATTTTAAATTATATCTCAAAAATGAATAAAGAGAAAAACACCAAATTTTAAACTTAAGCTTAAATACATTCTGTGGTGAGTTGTCTAAATTATGGACATAGTTGAAGCATCTGGGGGTGTTTTATAGGGGGTCGTTTTTTTTAATTTAACGAATATCTCCGTTATTTACTATTGGAGAAGAAATTTTTTTGAATAAAAGTTGTTTGCAATATAATTTTCTATAATTTTTGTCCCATACATAATTTTTCTTAAATGTTATTCTTTATATTTTTTGTTATATACATGATTTCCCTAAAATGGACCGTAGTCGAGATATTTGAGATAAACTGCAATTTCGAATTTCAGTTTAAAAACGGAGAAAACACCAAATATAAAAATGTTTCGAGTAAGATGCATGTGGAAAATGTATTTAGTTCATCCTCTAAACATTTACAGGGATGATACAATAGGTTGTACAAAATAACCGGAAAAAGCCTGTACCTAATAACTAGATAGGAAAGTCATGTATTGGACCCATCAGATTTTTTTTCAAAGTTAAAATTTTTCCCCCACAGTTAATACCTATCTTATCTTTTTATTTCTTATATTTTATCAAAAGTAAAATATGATCTAAAGTGAGGAAAAAAATGCTAATCATTAGTTAATAAATCCGGAACAATTATTTATTTTCCTAATAATTTAAGGACCTCATTAAGGACCTTATTTACTAACTCTAGATAAATCTTTAGAAATACTTGGTTATTCTCATATATTTTTCGGGCATTATCTGGATATACTCAGTTATTCTCTCAGTATTCCAGGTATTTTCTAGGTATTCCCGGGAAGTCTCTGGGTATTCCCAGGAAGTCTCTGGGTATTCCCGGGAAGTCTCTGGGTATTCCCAGGAAGTCTCTGGGAACTTCCAGGAATTCTCAGGAAGTCTCTGGGAATTCCCAGGAATTCTCAGGAATTCCCGGGAATTCTCAGGTATTCCCAGGAATTCTCAGGTATTCTTTATGTTAGGAATTCTTGTGTACACATTTTTTGGATGTGTTTACCCCTCGAAATAATGCTGTTTAAAGGCTGTATGTCACGATACTAAATTAAGTACTAAATTTAGCACTAAATTAAGTTATTAATTTAGTACTAAATTTAGAACTAAAAATTTTTTTTTCTGTTTGCAACGATACCAATTTTTAGTACTAAATTTACTATAGGCGCACGCGCATTGACGTATTAATACGTAAAATTAACAGAGAAATGAAATATTATGTGTAAAACAGACAAGTAAATGGTGTTTTTATTATCAATTTGACACTAGTTGACTTGACAACAACCAAATACAGCATAAAAACCACGAAAAAAACACAATAAAACCTACAAAATCAAACAAGCGAACTTTATTCAAGGCGATAATGTAAAATTGTCGCTAATTAAAAATAAAAGGGTACAGAAAATACCGTCGTGTCAACTTTTTCTATGAAAAACTTCTGCGCAACATTTCGGCGCACTTTTAGTACTTAATTAATGACTTTTTTTAGCACTAAATTTAGTACTAAATTTGCTGTTTGCAACGTGAATTTTTTTAGTACTTAAAAAATGCATTAATTTAGTTCTAAATTTAGTACTTAATTTAGTATCATGACATACAGCCTTTAGACACTATTTCATATCAATACTAAAAAGATTGTATTGTCGACTCCGTTTCATGAGAGAAGAATCCGGCTGAAGTTGCAACAATGACCAAATTATGTCTTATTTACCTACGTCGCATAGTAACGACAGGGTCACGCCACTGACGTAGAACGAACATTTTTATGCCAATAGCCATTTATTTATTTATTTGTCAGCGACGTTAATGTTTGACATTTAAGGTAATGTTTCTGGAAGGCCTATTTGTTAAATATTTTTGATTTTAGACTATTTTAAGACGTTTGTAAGTGAGTGTTGTGTGTTTTATTTAATCTAAAACCATGCCTCCTAAAAAACTTGTTGGTTTAAAGGGACAAATTATCCATAAAAATGTTGAGCTAGAATGAAAAACATGTACTAATTTTTAGATGAATTTTTGAAAATTATACTATTGTTTTTATGTTTTTTTCATTGGTTTCAAAACAATATATAATAAAAGATAATTCTAACAGTCAAATTAGGCAACACAATTTACAATGTCTTAATATGACATGTTGCACTGTTATTTTTTTTGTATTAATTTACATTCAAATAAAACTTTCAATCCTTAACTTCATGTATGTTTTGAATGTTTAGTTATTATGTGATTTGTTTACAAAATAGTAAATTTTCGTGTGGGTCTAGATTAAATTTGTTCTATTTATATATATAGAGAATAACCATGATGACATGAATCATTCAATCTTTATGAAGTGGGTTCAGGAACAACTATTATCCAATATGCCTGAGAAATCAGTTCTGGTTGTCGATAATGCTTGTTACCACAACATGAAAATTAAAAAAGTATTACTTCAGTATCTAGGAAAGCAGAAATATTAGAATGGTTTAGGGCCCACAAAGTTGAACATGATGTCAATAAAACAAAACCCGCTTTGTATGAATACATAAAAAAAAATCAGTTAGGTATTTTTGTTTCCTATAAATTGGACTGTTTACTGAAAGAACATGAGCATAGTCTTATGGATACCACCTTATCATCCAGAATTCAACCCAATAGAAAAAATCTGGGCACTGGTTAAAAACTGGGTGGCAGTGCACAAATACCACATTTAAACTGGATGATGTGGAGAAATTAGCCAGAAAGAAATTTTCTGAAGTTTCTGATCAAGAATGGTGTTAGAAAATATTCTGGATAATGCTGTAGATTCTCTTGTGTTTACTGTAAATACACAATCGTCTGATGAATCTACTTCAGAGGATGATTGCAGCAGTGACAGCAGAGTAAGAGTATTATATAATTGCTTAGTGACTCTGAAAGTGATTAATACAGGACAACAAGAAATAAATTTTTCCAGCATACCTACCTAGATTCTAGGCAAACATATTTCAAATTTTGTGATATGGCTCAAATTGATGATTTTAAAATCGATATATCACTATAAAGTCAATAAACAAAAAACCTTAAAGTTCTTCATAATATACCTTTCCAGTAACTAACTTCTAAAATTTCATCAATTTGTTTAACTATAAATGTGATTAAATAAGTTTGAATTTTTGAAGGGTAAAAAAATTGAAAAATATTTCACACACGTTCAACTAGCAGTCAATTGAATAAGAAATACAACAAACATTTATTATCACTAAGCTATTTTGTATTCACTGTTCTTACACTTGTGGTTTGATTAACTACTCTTGTATGCTGCAGATTTCGTTAAAGTTTTTAGATGTGAAATGTTTTAAAAATTTATATATTTTTCAGGGCTTTTCAAAATTTAAAAATTAATACTTAGGTTGTATGTTATGCCATATTATGGCATTTGAGTTTCAACTTTTCAATGATTTTGCCAGTAATCTGAATAAACCATTTAATAATCAATATGTTACCAATATTTTTCAAGTATTCTTTAATTAAAATAAATTTTTTTATAAGTTCTTATTTTGTGTTTTTCTACCTTTTTTTATTACCTAAACGATATATTTAGAGCTTGAAGTAATGGTCCTAAGAGGTCAATATCTCAGCTAGTCCATTTTTATCCAAAAAAACATTTATAACCCAAGATTTTAAAGGAAACTTAATATACTTTTTGTTGTATGAAGAATGCCTGCACATACCTCTACTCAGAAAGCAATTATAAGCAAAAGAGTAAAAAAAATTAATTTTTTGCATATTAAATTCTTTTTTTTTATATTTATTAAAAGTAAAATGGGAGAAAAAAAGTGCTCTTACCAATTTATAACATGCAGCCATAGTTAGAACTACAACATTTCTTGGATATCTAATCCCCTCCAATTGTTTTTCCTTTATAAGATCTACACATTCTAACATTTCCTCATATTTTTGATTTTCAAAAAGCAGATCTAATAGTAATTGATAACTTATTATTTGATCGAAAAATCCATTCAATTCTGGACATTTGAAACACTAAAAAAATAATATATTTAAGAAGCGTTTTTGGCTGTATTAAACATAATTACCTCAACTGCTAAATCTGGTCTGTTGTGTAAATAAAATAAACGCATTACTACTGGACCAAATATAAAACTTCCAAAACGCAATTCTCTATTTTGCGAGTTGAACCTAAAAAAAAAAGTTCAATGATTATTAGTCATAAAAAATAATTTGAAAAAAAAATATGTATACTTTTTTATCATCGTAACAACTAATTCTAGATCTTTTTCATCTGTTGATACATGAATCATGTTCTTCAAATCTTCTGTAAACACCATGTTCTTATTACTATCATTATTAATATTTTCTAACATTTTTTCTTTAAATTTATCAGCTATATTTTCTAACTGTTGTTGCGTGATTTGGCATGTGTGTTCAAAGCCATCCAACCCTAAAGAGGATTTTGCGTAAAGTTGCCGTACATCTACAAGAAAAATGTATAAATATTATTTTAGGTTATGTAATTTAAAACTTAACTTACTCTGTAAATTATTCGGAGCCGAACGTAAGTGGCTATTAAGTTGAACGATCTTACGAAATGCTGAACAATTTACTTCTTTTAAGGTAGTTATTAGTTTCGTAGTCAACATTTTTATATTCTTAAATAAATGTGCTGAAAAACTGAAAGAAAAATTATTGACAATTCAAACCTAACCTTTAAAAATTAGAGATGGGTTGCTTTTTAGTAAACTGCTATTTGACAACTGTTATTGGAACTAAGCAGCTTTCAACTGCTATCGGCTATTACAAATCGCTGCTTCTTAAATAACAGTTTACTATTTTCACTAATATTTCGATTTCAGATACACCGATATTTGTGACTGTGTTGTGAGTGCATGGTGCGCGTGATGCGACGATGACAATAGCAATTTGCTGATGCGAATGTCGTATTTTATACGTGCACTACGGATGTTTATGTTTTTCTGTACAATAACAGTTATGGTTAGACCAAAAATGCTGTGCCCTCTTACAAATATTTTCAGCAAATAAATTTGTTTTAAGAAAATTACCCACCACACAAAATTTACGTCAGGGAGGACGCGATGGCATATAAAGACTAATTTTTTAATTGTTACCATTCCCGTTGTCATCGACTTATTCTGACAATTTGGGGAACCACCGGCACAGGTTGATATTTAACTCGACATTATAAGACAGCTTAGCAGATTTGAGCGCGAACGTAAATAATGAAATGCCGGTAAACACTTAAGCAGAGTAGTCGAACTACATATATCGTTGGTTTAAAGCACACATGTTGTATGTCCATTTTTGTCGAGAAAATGGGATAGGTAGGACTATATATCCTTCATGATGAAATCTTTATGGTTACCAAATATAGTACGTCTACTTAAATAGGTTTACTATTCAGTAAAGTAATACTAATAAAAATTATACAGCTCGTCATAGTCACCTCCAACATTCAAATCGATTTTACTCAAAATTACATTTTTGGACATACAACATTTGTGCTCTTAAGCCATCGATATATGTTGCGATGATTTAATAAACTGCTATTAAAAAGCAGCTATTTGAAAGCTGCTTTTTAGAAAAAGCAGTTACTGTTATAACTGTTATTTAAAAATAGCAGTTTTGGCCCATCCCTATTAAAAATTCTTCTTCTTTTCTAGGGTTACACTCGATGCATCGATGTTTAAAAAATCGATATTTTCTTTCCGATTTTTGTATGATAGACTAGTTGAGTTCGGAAGTTGACTCGTTTTACACTTTTCACTCCTTATCAATATCTCATCACTGAATAGAGGACTTCTATACAAGGGAAGTGCAACCAACTTGACAAAATAAAATTGACACTAATGACATAAGAAATCGGGTCACATAAAGAGGCTGTTTTTTAATTTTATTTTTGGTTTTTCCTATCTACTTTCATGCCATTTGCATACCTTGTTGTACCCGTAACGTGAAAAAGACTTTTTATTTTAGGGTATTTTACATTTAAAGATTGAAAACATTTGTCAATATCAGCTGTAGATAATGTCAAAACATAAGCGTAGCATTGCATTTTATTTTTTGTTGTTATTAGTCTAATTGTGTTTCTCCTGCTTTCCTGAAATATTATTTTTCAGTTGGTTTTATTTATTTATGTCGATTGCAAAATGCTGCTGCTACGAATACAAGTTCTATAAAATATACAACCAACATACAATACTAGTTACGTTATGCCCATCTATGGTTACGCCTGTGTTCTATCATCAACATAATTGACAGCTGACAATGACAAAATATTTCAACCTTTAAATGTAAAATACCCTAAACTAAAAAGTCTTTTTCACGTTACGGGTACAACAAGGTATGCAAATGGCATGAAAGTAGATAGGAAAAACCAAAAATCAAACAGTCTCTTTATGTGACCCGATTTCTTATGTCATTAGTGTCAATTTTATTTTGTCAAGTTGGTTGCCCTTCCCTTGTATAGAAGTCCTCTATTACAATGATCCAGCATAGACTGGTTAGTTATCGATTGAAAAGAGTAAAAGGAGTGCACCTCTTAACTCAAAGTGATTCGATGTATTTTGATGTCAATATCGATGTTTTAAAAAAGTTGCGCATCCCGGGGGCTATTTTCAAACTCGAGAGAATTCATTTCTCTCAAGAGAAATGTCATACGTCAACGTAAAACCGTTTTTTTAGGGCTCTTAGGGCCAGTGTGAACTTACTGATTG